TCATCTTGGCCCAAGTCTTTGCAGGCCTGAAGGCACTGAAGGAGGGAGGGAGGACCAGCAGCTCCTGCAGTTAGACCAGGCTGATGGTTCAGCTTCAAGGAACCTTCAGCTGTGCCAGACATGCATTGCTCCAAAGCAAGGTTTAGGCAGCCCAGTGCAGTGGGAGCCAGCAGGGTATGGGCATGAACTGCAGCAACTGAGGGTGCCTGACACTTTTTTATGCCAACAATAAAAATGCCTGCTTTTGCTAAAGTAGCATATAGGAGAGGACAAACTGACAGCTTGAGTGTATCCTTGCTTCTTGTTAGAGGTGATGGTGGTTTTCAGTGTGATCACAGAGAAACTCCTCTAATGTCATGTATATTCAGGAACCAAATGCAGCTGAACCTGCAAATGTGAACCAATGCATTCTTGCTTTGTACAGTTGGGCCCCAGAGAGGAGCTGAATTCAGTTCCCACTGCTATGTGAGCTGCTACGATATTGTATAGGTTCTTGAGGTCCAGATCAAGACGTTTTCGTGTTGGTTCAGCCAATACAAAGTGGGTGTGAAACGGAGAGGGGTGGTCTCCCTGTAAGCACGGCACAGCTAGAAAAAGCAGTTTGGCTGGGGAGCAGAGAAGGCCATAAACCTGTCAGTTATGGAGCATGTAGTTTCAGCATGGGAATGGTAAAGCAGCAACTTTTCTCACTCCCTGGAGAGCAGTATGGAAAGTTTTGATAACACCTGGATGCTGGTGATCATCTGCTTGAGTAAAGATCTCTGAGCACCAGGCCACCAGCTGCAAGGAGTAGGACCCAGGGACCAGTGTGGAGACTAATGTGGGCTACCTGGCACCAGAATTTGCGCACCTGGTTTTGGTTTCTCATCATTTAGATCTACAAGCCGACCCCAGAGCACTATGTTAAATAAATTCCTATATGTTTATAGACAAATGCAGCGGTTTCAGAGAAGATTGGAGATACCTTTTGGCCTTGCGTGCCTGCCAAGCTACTTCCCCACAGCTCTTGGGCCACCTGCTGTCACCCAGCATCCACCTCTGCCCCCCATACTGGCTCCGTGTGTGGAGCTGAGGCAATCCACCAGCCCCCTCTTCATGAGTGAAGGATCATCTTTGGATAAGGAGATTTACTGCCTGGCTTAATGACTTTGCTCAGAGAGCGGCTGGTCACCTGCTTGGAGATCTACTGCTTGCCTGTCACGTTATCTTGTCTAGCTGCCTGGACAGGAGGAACATATGGGGGCTGCTTAATTTTAAAAACGCTAGTTACAGGGCAGAACCATAAGTGGTCCTTTTAGTGCCTCTGTATGGGGTAATGCTGTGTGATGTTGGGAAGGCAATAGAGCACCACAGCTGCATTTCAGTTGCTGGAAAAAAGGCAGCAAAGAGGCAGTGCGCATTGCAAGGCATGTCTCATGACACCAAGATGCTAAAGCACCTTCTCTGTAGCTGAACAAAAGATGCAAGGCACCTGCCCTGAAACATTGGGATAAATGTCTTTTTATCTTCTCTTTCAGGTCTGGATTTACAATGAAGATCATGAGCTGATTTTAAATAATCTCCTTTGCTTGGATGTTTCGGAAACTCGCTCGTCCGATCCACCTCGTCTCATGAAATGCCATGGGTCCGGCGGCTCACAGCAGTGGACGTTCGGGGTAAGTGGAGTGTCTGGCCTATAGCATGTTGCTTGTAATTAATGTCTCAATAAGTGATAATAGCACTAACAGGACATCAGGGTTGAGTTTAATTATGACTAAATGTCAGATGTACCAAGTCAATTGTACTGGACTAGGCCCAGCCCACATTCTAGGCAGCCTGTACAAAAGTTACATGGGCTTTGGTGGCTGCATTTCAGCCTGAATAAAACTTTTGCTGAGCTCTGGAACATGCAGGCCCTTTCCTTTGCAACACAGGAAGGTTTCTACAGCCCTGTTTAGCCTTTTTTCTGCTTGTCACAGCCACCCGCAGCACTTGTGGCTCATGAACATATGCCAGGGAGAACAAAATCCACCCTGCAGCTCTTTGTTGTGTTGTGTTTGCAGGACTTGGAGATGGTAGCAGTCCATGTGGTGATTTCTGCTTAGTGCTTGAAGATGCACAGGGCAGAGCTGAGGATTGACAGAGGAGTTTTTTTGCTGTCGTGTCTGCCCTATAATTGCATCGCGTTAGTTTAATCACTTAGAGTCTCAAGTGGCTGATTTCACAAAACTGAGCCAGCGCTGCATACACGAGTTTTGGCTCCTGCGTATTAACGCAGAGGCTGCTCCCTCACATGCCCTCAGCATAGCAGTGAGTCTGTAGTACAAACATCGTCTAATAAAGAGGAGGGCAGTGCCAGAACTGCCTATTGCCCTTCCAGGACAGCTCTGCATAAACTGTCTTGGGTTCATAGCATGCTGCTCGTTGGCAGCACGAGTTCCTAAGTTGAGTCAAATAAGGAAGGCTGTTGCAGTCCAGGATGGTTTGGAGATACAGAGGCAGATACTGCGTGAGCCCAGCGTTGTGTGTGTCTGATGCTTGCACCAGCAGTGCCACAGCCACAAATGGTACTGGGAGTTGAGAACTTAAAAATTCTGCTGCTGATAAGAGATTATCCAGGGTTCTTCAGCTTGAGCTAGTGGACAAAGATTTTACGAGACTGAGAGAATGGCCATTGAAATTCAATGCACGTAACTGTTAGGGGATACTTGTGGTGGTGGTGGAGAATCTGGGCTGCGTGTGTGAAATGTGGGCTTTGAGCATTTTCACTGAGCATGTGGGAGGTGGATCTCTAACAGTGTCAGATTGGTGCTCGGCACAAAGGAAAGTGAATCAAATATTAGGATTTATTAGGGAAGGAATAGGAACCAAAACAGAAAAATGTCATCGCACCATTGTAGTTTGCCCATGCTGGTTGCCTTCTCTCAGAAAGGCTAAATTAGGACTGGAGAATGTTCAGAGATGGGTGGCAGGGCAAATCAAAGGCATGGGGCACCTTTCACATGAGGAATATGCGAGCAGGCTGGGACTCTTTAGAAAAGTGAAGACTTGTGGGAGCAAGGGGAAATAGATTAGGTGTGTGAGTCACTGGTACAGAGAAAGGACAACTGTGCGCTGTCAGTTACAGTACAAGACTCAGTGAGGGGGTTATTCTGGAGGAGTGTTGTGTATTCTTGCCATGTTCTTCCACTTCACTGGAGATCTGCTTGTGTCCATAAGCAGTGACGGAGAGCCCGGTGCGGCTGTTCTCACCTATCTGCTCCCTCTATGCAGGAGAGCAGGAGGTTGCTGCCCACAGGAGCTGCTGGGGTTGTGCAGAGAGCCCTTTCCAGATAGAACAGGGGCTGTCACAGTGCCCAAAGCAGCTGCAACAATCTGTTAGTGGGGGGAGATGACAGGGTCTTCTGGGGGGAAAAAAAAAGAGGAGAAGGATCTGTTTCCTTCTCACACTTGGCTAGGGTCTGGCCTTGCCGTGGTTACTGGGATGTGGGTGCTGCGGGCAGTGGCATTGCTACGGCTTGGCCAGCTGCAGAGCAGGGACCTGGCTGTGCCGCGCTGTAGCCTTGTGGTCTCCCTCTTTGCTGAGTGCTGGGGAACGGTTTTGATCATCCCTCCACCTCATTACGAGACTGTGGTATAAACAAAATCCAAACTGGGTCCCTGTAAGGATGTGAGAGCCTTCGTTTCAAGGTCTGAACGTGGTCACGGGATGTGCTGTACTCTGGCTTTTAAATGGTGCTGCTGTGGGTCTGGTGTGTCAGAGAGGCTGCTGAAAGGCTTATCTGTCAGGAAGGAGCATCCTCTCCCCTTAAGCATTGGTTTTGGCTTCGGTTTGACAGTGGAGTAGAACAGAATTTTTAATAAATAAATCCCATCTGTCTTTCTCTCTCCTCTAGAAAAACAACCGCCTCTACCAGGTCTCCGTGGGGCAGTGCATGAAGGTGGTGGATCCGCTTAGCCACAAGGGCTACGTGACCATGGCCATCTGCGATGGGTCCCTTCCTCAGCAGTGGCATTTTGAGAGCTGAGACAGCGAGGATGCGGCTGAGAAGCGTTAAGCCAAGACTCAATACCCCTTCAGCCATGATTTTAAGTCATTCTGGAGGGCTTTGCGAGGAGCCCCTAGCTGCTACACCCGGCCCAACCATTGCAAGGACCCTTTAGAAATACTCTGCTATGAAGAGCTGTGTCCATTAGAAGGTCCAGGTGGTCACCGGTCTCTGGTCAGATATAACAGTAATAGCAGCAGCCCCACTGCAGAGCAACACGTAGAAGTGCAATTTATCAGCGGTTCCTTGGATTATCGAACTGTTTTTAAGTAAGAGAAATTATTAGAGCAATGTAATTTAAATTGTGAGATTTTAGCTTTGTGGATCTTTTAAATGACAATGACAGAAAGGAGTCCTCTTCAAGTATTTCATGTGCAGTATCTCATTAATTTACATTTTTAGTATGGTTTTACTGGCCAAATTATTTTACTTTTTCTGGAAAATACTTTTATTCCCTTTTATCTTCTGAAAATTGTCATTTGTAATATTTAAATTTAGTTCTTTTAATTTACAATTTTAGGACATTTCATGTAGTTTAAATTCTTAGCGGTCATTCGTCACCTCATATTTAAAACAAAGTAACTATTACAAAGTCTATTTTGATGATTCATGACAGTAGCTGCATTTAAAATAAAGTATCATTTTTTTATTAATTGGTATGGCCTTACTCTTTGTAGCTGTTGGACCAGAAAGCACCAACTTAGAGACTGATGAAAACGAGTGTTCACATAACTTGGGTCTTCTCTTGTTTCCACTCTTTTCTTCACAGCTGGCTCTTTCTCCCTCTCTCAAGTCTTGGAAGGTTTGACAGATAATTTCTGTTTGGTTTTTTTTCCCCCCCACTTCTCCATTTCCCTTCCCAAGTTCATTTGTTTCACTATTTACCTTTCTTTGACTTCCTGCCTCGCCCCCAGATGCTGCTTCAGTGCATGGAAGCTGCTGCAGAAGAGAAAAGCTGTTCTTACCCAGCGTATTTCTCCTTAGCAACGTTGTCCTTGTTTATCACGCTGCAGCGACTTGCCTTCCCTGGGAAGCACGCAGTTCCGACATCGGCAGCGCCAGGACAGCCCTGCCCTTTCACTGGGGCAGCAGAAACATTTTCCAACTGCATCCAGTTACTGACATTTTGGGCAGCGTGAGGCAAATAATGATAATGCTGGAGCAATTATAGACCCACGTCTTCCTGCAGAGAGGAGAGATTCACTTGTGACAGACTGTCGTCTGCCAGGGCAGTCACCCTGGGAGGAGAAAAGCAAGAGGAAGAACACGAGCAGGTAAGAGCGGTCCCTTGCTGCTGCGCGGCTTCTTGCCTCCTTCATCAGTTAGGGAAGCAGTGAGTCACAGGCAGGGAGGAACGAGGTGAGCAGGGTTTAATTGTAAACCAGAACAATAGGCTGAAGTGGAAGTTCTTCCAGATAAAGCATCATGATGGGAATAAACATTAGACACCAGCCAAGTTCCTTCCTAGCAAGAGAAATCTCTAAAAACAACCCCAGCCCCCTTCAGCAGCTGTATGTCAGCCGAGGCCCATGCTGCGCCCCTCGCTGGGTCAGGCGGCCCTCGTAGGGGCACCCAGAGTTTTGAAACTGGTTCCCAAATGGCTGTTGCAGGGCAGGAACAGATTCATAGGGTGTCAGCTCACAGCGGCCTCCCGCTGAACCCTTTCAGCGGCAGCAGGGGTGGCGTAAAACCAGCTGTCGTGGTGTGCCGACAGCTCCGGCGAGGGTTTGTGCTGCCTGTCCTTACGCCAATATCCCCGCTTCCTCGGGGGGACACCTGGGTGGCTGTTGTGCGTGGAATTAATTCCAGTCCTTGTTGGGGGTGAAAGGGTGGGCTACAGATGTGTTTGTGTCTGTCTGCTTAACCCTGACTGCTCCGACGAGTGAGTGTGAAGCTCTCAGCTGTTTGCTGGGCTTTCCTGTAGGCTGAGAAATTTGTTTTGGCTGTCAAATTGGCTGTGCAGTAGCCTTGCTCTGGCTTTTTTTTTTTTTTCTGTGGCCTTTGTCTTTTTAAAAAATAATAAAAAATCAAAACCCACACAAATCCTCAAACAGGCAATGCAGAAGCTTGCTTTATTTATGGTCTGAGTCTGTTGCCACAGAGAATTTTTGACCTTTTGCTCCCCGTGAGGAAATTTGGAGGCAGCTATCAAAACCAGCTCAATACATGCGGTCTTTAAGCCTGCAATAATAGGCAAGAACGTAGAATTGATGGACCACTGAGTTGCAGCTGGATTGTTCCTTAATATAAAGAAGATAAATATTCTACGTCACTCTTATATAAATAATGCACCTTTTTTTTTTTTAAATTGGCGATACCCACATTTGCAGCGCTGCGTGTGTGGGCTGGCGGCTTCAGCCTCTGCACGCCCAGCCCGTGCCAGCACCTAGGGACTGGTGCTGGTTTCCAGGAACAGATGGAGGCGATGGCATTTTGGATGGTGTCAGTTGTTTCTGCAGCGAACAATTTTTGGCCAAAGCCGTAGCTGTTCAGTGCTGCAGCCGCAGAGCCAGGTCATTGCACACAAAATTTGAAGAGGAGAGGGGTATAAATCTTTCCTGTGAACACCCAGTCCTGAATCAGTTGACGGTTCTCAGCTACGCCCTGCATGGGCAGCCTGCGATTAGGTGGAAATTCATAGTTTTCTTCCTCTATTTGAGTGTCCGCTCACAGCTGACCCTGGGGAATTTGGCTCAGTAGGAAGAACAGAAAGAAAAGCCCTATCCTGGGATTTAAGCTGTCCCAGCACTCAGTTTGCTGAGTCATACTGAGAATTTATTTGTAAAGAAACTGCACCTGGGACTCATTTTTAAGCCTGTGTCAAATATTTCTGTCTTGATGACCTGTGGAGTTGGTGGCTGACAGCAGCTTTGCTTCGTGGCTCGTTTCTCCCGTGTTTCTGCAGCTGGCCTGCCCTGCGCTAACCCTGACACACGAGCTGTGCTCCCTGCTCACCCCCAGTGCTGACACCACTCGGGTCCTCTCTCTTCCAGCAGCCGGAGCGCACAACGTAAGTAACGCTGGAGAACAGCTTTGGCCTGGCTGCTTCCCGCTTCTCTGCGCTCCATCATCTTGGAGCCCTTTTTTTTTTAGCCTTGACCCAGTACTGAGGTCTCGATAGAAACGTCTCTGGGCCAGGCAGCCCCACTGCAGCAGTGCTGGGGTTTAACCCCACACAGCCCCTTGCTCACCACCACCCCTTCCACCCCCCCCCCACCCAGGGATAGGGGAGGGATTGGGAAGGGAGGAAGTGTTAAAACTCGTGGGTTGACATAAGGACAGTTTAATAGGTAAAAAGCAAAAGCCGTGCACGCAACCAAAGCAGAACAATGAATTCATTCCCCACTTCCCATGGGCAGGCAAGTGTTCAGCCACCTCCAGGACAGCAGGGCTCCATCACACTAACAGGGGGAAGAAAAACGCCATCACTGACCATCTCCCCCTTCTGCCTCCTCCAGCTTTTATTGCTGAGCACCAGCGAAAGCACATCCCTTTGGTCAGCTGGGGGGGGGGGGTCGGCCCCGGCTCCTTCCCCCCCCCCAGCCTACTCTCTGCCAGGGCAGCAGGAGCAGCAGCAAAGCTCAACTCCGCAATAATGAAACCATCCCTGTGTCACCGACACCTGTTCCAGCACCAGTCCAAAGCAGGGCACCATACCCGCTGCTATGAAAAAAATTCACTCTACCCCAGCCAAAACCAGTACAAGCAGAATACAGTATTA